CTCGATCCCACATCCTGATCTCACCCCCCTCCCAATCCGCGGTGCCCATCCCCTTCGCATCCCCGACCGACCTATCCTCCACCCATTTACTTCAGGACCCTTCTCGACGTCTTCCTCCTCCGCCACCACCTCCTTCACGCCGGCAAATTTACTCTAGATGACCGACCAAACCCCCAACCCCACGCTCTCATCCTGCAGATCCCCCATCCTCACCCTCCCTCCCCTTTTCGCCCTTCTCCTGCTACTCCAGCTTCTCTAGTTTTCGGTGGCAACCTTTTTTTTCCTGACTGCATGACCAGGTACTTTACCTCGATGGCAACCTTTCGTCCTGACTGCATGACCAGGTACTTTACCTCCGCGTAGCGTTCCTTCTCCTCCTGCCTCTCCGCACGCAACGGCATGATCCCCGCCCACTCATTCCGATAGCGGCGGTGCAAAAAGCCAGTCCCACTTGCAACATGAGACCACCACACAAAACGGAGGATGGAAGAAGGACTCGGAGGAGAGGAGGGATGGACGGAAAGGGAGGGAGGGAAGGAGGGAGGGAGGGAGGGAGGTGAGGAGGTGGGGAGAGAGGGTGCACTTCGCTACGCCGCGGGGCCTCGCGTATTTCCGTTTTGAGCCGAGTGTGAATGCAACGGTCCACATCTTCAGGCACAACACCGCAGGCCGCGCACAGAGGGAGAGCCAGAGCGTACCCAAGAGAGAGAGAGAGAGAGAGAGAGAGAAAGAAAGAAAGAGAGAGAGAGACAGCTGCACTTCTGCAAGCCCGTTTGCACACAGCTCGACTCTGCTCCGCCTGCCAGTTCCTTTGCGTTCCTTTGCGACCAGCGCCGACCAGCACGGAAAATTTCGACGGCAGTAAAGAAATTATGAGTGAGCCGATGTGCGTATAGCTCAGTTGGCACTTCCTTTTTTTTCTTTTTTTCTTTTTTCCATGATCCCTTGGCACTTTCTAGCTGAAGGTACACTCAGGCATTTTTCAACTTCCTGTGAGAGCGTGACTAGAGGGCTTTTTTTTTTTTTTTTTTTTTTTAGCGTGACTAAAGTCAGCGACTACCGGTTTTTTTTTTTTTTTTTCGCGTGACTAAAGTCAGTGACATCCGTTAAAATTGGAACGATAAGGGAAGATTAGAGAAATGGTCCAAATTTAAAAAACAAAACAAAAAAAGGAGCAGCGGCAGAAGTCGGTAGTACCGTCTTCTCCCGAATAGAACGTGCGGTTATTATGGCGGTATCGACCGGTAGACTGAAAGTATCCCCAAATAGTGATGGCGGTATCAATTATACTGACTGTACACTCTATTCGGGCGATAACCGTTTTTTTGTTTTTTGTTTTTAAGAGGCCAAGGACTAGAACCACGGTCATCGCTGGCAGCGGCACCCGGTGGCTGTCCTGACAGGATAGGCCACCCTACCCTTCCCCACGTTTACACTCCCAGCGCACCCTTTATCCGGGCGACGATCGTAGTACAGTGTAGAACTGAATAGTCATAGCATCGCACTACATCGGCAAGGTCCCACTTGCGCAAATTAGGAGATTTCGGCCGTTGATCTTTGCTATCTACGGTCAATATCGCTTAGTTCGTGTAAGTGGGACCTAGCCCCAGGTGGTCGATTCCAATAGTAGTGGGTTGTAGTCCTGCCGACTTCCCCCGAAATAACGGACCCCCATCTTGACTGTAACGGACAGGAAATCTCACTTCTATACACATTCATAATGCGGGTACGCTGTATTCGGAGAAAAACGGTAGTACTAGTAGGACAGGAGGAGGAGGAGCAGGAGTAGGAGCAGCAGGAATAGTAGGAGGAGGAGGAAGAGGAGGAGAAGCATGGTGAAGCGGAGTACAAGGCAAGAGGAGGAGGAGCACTGTGAAGCGGAGTAGAAGGTTCTGAAGCTACAGAGGAAGAAGAAGAAGAAGAAGGAGATTGAACAGAGGGGGAGGAGGAGAAGAGGAAGAAATCGATGGAGAGAGGAGAGGAGGTGGGGAGAGAGTGGAAGGTCGAAAGGAAGAGGAGATCCAGCAGGTCAGGGGACAAGAAG